CCCCCCCCCCCCCCCCTATAACCACCGGTTCGAACTCCTCTCTCCCTCTTTCTCTCTTTCTCTCTGTGCACAAGGTACACATGGCTCACTTGATTCGCGATTGTACGAACAAGACGGTAGGGGGTCCCCGAGCCTGATTGTGACTTCTTATTGGTGATGCCGATGTGTGTCATCGCGTTTCACCAACGAAAAGCCGCCGCGAGGTCGTGAACCCCCAACGTTTTCTGCGAGTAGGGTAAGAGAGTCCCAGTTGCAGACAAATTAATTTTTCGTTCGTCTATACATTCTTCGATTGAATTTTACGTTAAAACTAACATATTTCCTTGCATTTCGTATTGTTTAGCTCTGCAGTTATGCAGCGAATTATAAAGAGCTTTCGATTTGAATTTAATGAAAAATAAAAATGTGCGTGTGATGTAAATGTCCCAATTACCGATGCTTCCAACTACTGCTTGTACCAGTTATCGTGAACGAAATATCGATGAGGCACAAATATTTCTAATTTGTTTATCATTCATTTTTTAATGTATTTATACTAAATTAACTTTCTGATAACCTCTGTCCAACTTGAATTAAATTATTAAAGGACATACATTGTATTAACCGCAGAGTATGAACAGAGCCGGTACTTCTACGAATTTATAAATTATACAAGCTTCAATGTTTATTTTGTACATTAATTACGGATTGTCGTTGATACGATAAAAGTTTAAACACGTCATCATTTATATATTGCTCCATTTATTCTAAATCTGTACAAGAAATGTTAATGTTTATACTTTCTTTAGAAAATCTAATGATTTTTATAGTCCAATAACATTGTTCTGGTAGATTGAAAGCTAACTATCTTAAATTATGACCATTTACGTAAATTCGACTTGTTTACCATATCAGTAAACGAAGAGTATCGTTCGCGGCAAACAGAATTTACGCTAAACTAATGGAGCACTTAAATAGTTCTGTTCTCTTAATGTAATATCAAATGTTACATTAAACTTTTGTTGCTTATAATTCTTTGTCATATTATTGCTTATCGTTAAAATAAATGAAAGTGGCGGTACTTCGGACAACCTCGGTAATTGGGTCCCTTACCCTATGCGAAAGAAGCACAAACAAAACGAGATGATCAAATCGATCCATATTCTGATCCATATTCTCCAATCAGAATTTCATCCTTTGTTATCATTATTAGACTGCGAATCTTTATGCAAAATAAAAATTGTCTAAATCTGTTGCAAGGGATAAAAATCAGTTAGAAATGTTTTTCTATCATTAATCATTATGGTAGATCGAAAATAATGTGTCGATAATCTTCTATTATTTCATTCTACTCCTTTTGAAAATTACAAATGCTCGTTTCCGACATAAAAGCATAAAAAAAAAAAAATCCGCAGTACTAATGATCATTCTAGAGATACAAATTGAATTTCTTATAACTTTAATCTTCTTTTGCAGGAATAGTACTTTATAATCATCAAATTATCTGTGTGCTTTATACGATGTCCACCGTTAAAGATCTTCGTACAAATTACCAGTTTCACTGATTACTATATACAAATCAAAATGAGAAGGAAAAATGTCTTTCCTTGACTAAGTTAATGTGCACGATTCCGTATGTTTTCGAAAATATTAGAATTCAGAATAATCCAGTTTAAGGTTAAACATAAAGAAGTCATTGAAGAACGAGTTTCCGACAAAACGATAATCATTTCAGCGGAAAATAAACAACTGGAGCAGGTTAAACGAGACAATAAACAAATATATTTCCATATTATCTCCCGTATAAGTGATAAGAGGAGCAACAACAATAGAATATATATGCAGTTACGGGAGCTATGGCACGCCTTGTGAAAGAAAAGGCATTATCATTAGCGGAAAGCAGAAACGTGTTTTTTACATATGAATGTACAACAAACTGGTTATGTTATCGTAATATAGTTGAACCATTATCTCTGCGCGCTCCCATAACGAATTCGTCCGAACGTTGCGCGGCGACTACGAAATAAGTTTCTATTCTTTCTGTTGGAAGCACTAGCCGCTCGAAATTAACGGACAATTCAATCGAATACGAACAAACTATACGCGTTGATCACCTGCACAGGCTAAGTCGTTTCGGTATGTATTAAAACCAATTTGTTTTTTAGCTTTAACAATTCTTTGCGACTGAAAAATATTCCGTGGAAAATTATTATGTTAAAACCTCGATCATCCGAAACGAGCAAGGAAAAATGAGTGTTCGGATAATGGAGCAGTTGCTTCGTTACAGTGTTAGATCATAACTGTATCGATTTGTATAATAATTAGCGTTGCGTGTGGATTCGAATAAATTGTATTTGGAAAGTGTTTGGATGATACAGACGTTCGGATAATCGAGGTTCCAATGTACGCTTAACACTAAACCTACCGAGCAGTCTGATGTGAGTGCCTCGTAAAGGTGAGATGTTCGAATTCGTTCGAATTTTCTAATGTTTTTATTACGAAACTTGGTAAGTTTAGTGTTAATCGTTCACAGACCCTACGTACAAGGAAAAAAAAACCCTGATGTAATTTCTCAACCGTAAATATTGGATTAACCACGAGATAACGAGAAATTGAAAACTACTCATTCTAAGCATATTCACGAACTCCAAACAAATCACAATAGACGTCAAACAACAAAACCAATGAAAAATCAAACGCAACAATAGATCTGCGATACTTACGAAACCGTAGCCTCTACTTTTCCCCGTTTGCCTGTCGGTGATGACGACGGCCTCCTCGATGTCCCCGTACACATTGAAATGTTCCCTAAGGCTTTTGTCGGTGGTGTGATACGGCAAACCGCCGACGAACAATTTCGTCCATGTGGTGTCTTTCTGTTGCGGCGTGGTACCCGCCAATGCGCCCAGGCTCGATACCAGTTCGTCCGGCCCTGGCGCCCCGACGGCACCCACCGCGCCGACGGCACTGAGACCAGCGGCACCAGGCATCAACATCCTCCAAATTTTGGCGAGATCACCGCCAGATGGAACGACGACTTGCTCAATTTTGACACTTTCTTTGGTACCTTGATCAACGCTAATTACGTCACAAGGTTAGCTGCATTTAGATGACTAGAGACTTGGTGATCTGAAAATTCACAAAATACGTTTTCTGTTAATACTAAGCTGTTTATTTAACAGATTTTGCGGATTTCTAAAGCAAAGGTTTTATCGAGACGCTTGGGTTGCTAAAACGACGCGATAGAGCCCCGAGTGAAGCCGGAGTTCGGTCTCATGCGTATTCCCTGTGGGCGTTGAAATCACCGTTCGATTCTGCCGAGCACGTGGAAACACATTGTGGCAATAGTTCAGGAATTATGTCACAAGTGTGTTAAATGTTCTACGTTGAGTCCGTGAAAATACGAAATGTAATCACTATTTTTAAGAACTATAATAATGGAAATCTATTGTGATGGATTCTTGGATTCTTTAAGTAAATATTTTCTCAGTTAAACGCATTAATAACGAACCACCAGATAGGCCAAAATTGATGTTTTGCTTTACATTCATTGAAACTATAGAAATATTGAGACATACATGAGAAATATCTTAATCTACTCTGTGAATAAAAATAAAATGCTTGATACGTGCAGAATATACAGGATGTTTCACCTAAAATATACCACCTAATTATCTTCTACTCAATTTGTAAATTTACTTCAACGTAATTTGTCACTATCCAAATTTATAATTAGTGAATATCATTTCCTTCAGGGACACTTGTAATTTTCTACATATATTCATGCACATAATTTCTCAATTTTATAACTAGAGAAAATAGGTTGCACGTTTTGGACGAAATATTGGTGCCAATTACGACATAAAGAATGGACTATAGTTTCACCTGAAATCATTATCGACAAATACATACAAGAAAATACCTATGCGACATTTTCAGTATAAATGTACTCTTTTTCCATAATTAAGTTATAATTTCCTATATCGACGAATTTTACCACCGCTAGGACACTTGTGATAACGTTCTAGCTAATTAATAATTCTAATTTCGTGCTGCGTGTCCGATGCTTCGGCATACGGGTTGTTCAAGCGGAACAGAACAGCGAAACGCGTCGCAACGGACGGGGCGGAAGGGGAGGGGGGGCATTCAGTGCAGAAAACTCGGAACGCGCGACCCTTCGACGAATCGCAGCCACCACCACCCCACGTGATCCTCGCGAAATGCACAAACAAATGAGGCGGGTACGTGCGCACAGAGACACACGTTCACGGCCGAAGCATCCGATACGGCGTGCACGTCTTCGCACGACATCGAAAGAAAGACAAAAATAAACCTCTCTCCTCCCTTCTGGTCTGACACACTCAGCGAAGTTACCGTTCCACTCGGCTCCACCGATTCCACGGATTCAATGAGTCTTGTTTCGCGCGCAAGCATAAAAGGGACCAGATCAAAAATCCCCCTCTACGCGAGAGCGAGAGCGCGTGGAAGCTGAACCCTTGCCGGGGCCAAGGAAAAACCGGCGAGAACCCGATGGCAAGAGGAAGAGGAACAGGCAAAACCGGCGTGGTCGAAAGAAGGATACAGAAAAAGGTACCACGAGGAAGAAAAGGGGAAGGAGGGAAGGGACCCTGACCTCCATTCAAGGTTTGTTAACGGTCTTAAAAAGGGAGCCAGTTTTGCTCTTCACAAGGAGCAAAACTCTGCTGCGACCGAGGCTAGGTATAGGCAGGGTATTTTTCGTGTGGTTCGGCTTTCGAATTTCTGCAATGCTGCAGGCGAGGATAGTGGTGGATGGATGCCTACAGAAGGGTCCTCCTCTCCTTTTTCCCTCTCTCTCTCTCTCTCTTTCCCTCCCTCTCTTCCTTTCTCTCTCTCTCTGGCTCACTTTCGGTTTTTTCCTCGCACGGTCGATCGCTCCCTCTTTCTCGCACTCACATTGTGCACATTAGGCACAGACCCTCCTAAGTGGGCCCTACGTTCTCTTCCGACCCCCTCCTGTAACCCCCCACCCCACCTGCCTCACTACCACCAACACCATCCGTGATAGTGCACCACTTCACAAGAACGGCCCTTCGTCGTCCGTTTCTGTCCGATCCCCTAAAACGACGGCAGCTGCTGCAGAAAACCGGTGCAGCACGCCGTATAATCATATTGTTGTACTGCCATCGGACTCCACCTCCACCACCACCGTTGCTCTTTCTCCCTTTTTCCTCATCCTAGAGCCGGTCACAACTACGCCGGGAGGCTCGGTCGAGCATAAAGGCCGCTCTTTTCTTTTTTATTGCCATTTTTTTTTTTATAACTACGACTACCGTAGAAGCAACAACCGTATTATGTATATGCTCGATTAATGCCCGTATTCCCGTAGACATGAATATCTCAATTCCTCGCAGGATATGATGCAACCGTGTTAACCATATTTTTAGGACTACCAATCATCGAATTTGTAATGAAAGGTATTTGCAAACTAGTTTCAGTATTAATGGAATCTACCATGATTGTGTAATAAGCTTCTTAGAAATTGCCATTGTGGAATAAAGATTTTTCGAAAACTATAATATAATCGATGGTAAGTAATGCGTTGATATAACAGTTGCATCTATGAAATTTATTAAATTTCGATTTTGTTTGTACTCGAAGAACGAACGAAGCTATTCAAAATTTCAAGAGAAATACTTAAATAATACTGTAAGGTAAACAAATATTACGGTATTTTCTATATATTGTAAAATGAAAAATGCTTCATAAAAAGGCTCCAACGAAATATAAAGTCACAGTGTGGTAGATTTTAAAGACGAGGACGCTGTTTGCACGAGATCTAAACACCATTCAAAATTAGAAAGTTATCGAAAACGGGAACGTTTGTGCATTTGGTTCAGTGCACAAGAATCTTCGCGGCGAGAGATATAATGATTGCTTGAAAAGTAATGTCAGCATTTCTGACTTTCCACGAATTTATTTATAGAAGAGAGATTGTACGTTGTTATTGTCTTTAACAGATATTACAATTGATGATAAATATATTTTCAGGCAGATTTAATGAACAATAGGGACCACACAAAGACGGGAATAATATTTGAAACCCTTCAGGTAATGAAACGCATTACCATTAGGACTTTGAAAAGTGTCAATTATTATGCAGCAGGTACCTCATAAATCAACGGAAATAAGTGTCAACTATAAATAAGTGGAACAGTTGAATTCTATGAAATTTTGTCCGAAGGCCAGAACACCGATATAAATGTGCATATTGTATGCAAAGAAGCGAGTTCGCTGCTGTCCAAAATTTTCTTGCTAAAAATGTCACCTAAACCGAACATCCTTAATAATCTAAAAAGCAGACAAAGTAATGATAATAAATTGTAAAAATACCTTTTGTAATTAAATATGGTCACTAGAAATTAGAAATTAAAATATGGGACATTAAAATGTCTGAACAAATATAATTTGCAATAGTTCCCCAAAAATCTACATCATGACTCGATCACGGTGCAGCCTCGCGCAACGACATTGGCCGATTGCCACGCGCTCGACGAAACTAACCAAAATATCTTCTCGGCCAAAGTCGCAAAGGCCAGAGTTCCAGAAAAGCCAACAGTTTGCTCCTTCGTTTCACAATCCACCGAAAAATTTCATTAAACATCGCAGACAACACCGCGAGTCGCGTTCCAAAAATTGCTTATATTTCCTGTTAACCAATCATTATGAGTAAACTGTTAGAATTCTACTACACCAGAGGCAAATATTCGTCGAAATATAATAGACACCAAAATATCTAAGAAACTTAAAGAATGAACCGATATTTTTCATCTTTTGTAGCTGTAAAATGTTAATCAAATTTTATCCAAACGTTTATTTAGATCGACCAATGAGGCTAAATGAACTTGCAATAATCTGAATTTCGAATTACTGATGTTCATAAATTAGACAATAGAGGATCAATGAAATAATTATTAATACATTTGAAAGCAGCGATGCAAGACTCGTGGTGGTTGCTCGTTGCGTACGATAGTACGGAATTTCATGCAAAAAAGAAAATGCGAAACAAAAAAAATGATGTTTCTCTGATTCTTCACGCCAGACGGTTGTAATCACCTGCGCGCGTTTCCAGACCTCCTGCTAAAGAGAAATCGTCGGAGCCGACGTCGAGGTTTATTAATAAACGTCGTGGTACACGTGCCCGTCGCCGTGTACTCCCTTTGTCGTGACGAGACCGCTGCAATAGGGGTGGAACAAGAACAACCGAGAGAATAAGCAGATCGTTTTACGAACGCACAGGATAGCCACGCCGAAACATTTGGCCATCGGATAAACAGCATTTCCAGAATGGAATAATAATGCAGTGAAACGGTCGCCGAGCGTTGCCCGATTCCGTTGAGACTTTGTCCGACGTGCAAACATCGCTAACGCCTGTGTTACCGACACGGTTTCGAACGAAAAACGCTCTCGCATCTCTCTTTGTCCAGCGAAGAATCTTTTCAATATCGTCACAAAGAGCCACAATGAGCAGGAAAAAATGGCAATCCACGAAGAAAGCACGAACTATTCATTGTGCAACGTAACGACCCCCACCAGTCGGCCGTTTTCCAACGATATATATCTTGCCAGAAATCTTGCCGATCGGTCGCAATTGGATAACCGCATCAAATGTATTTCCGCAAATTCACCAAACTGTTTTTGATACGCACCTATCAGGTTCCTCGGCACACTTGCGATATCGTGGGTAATCCGAACAGGAAACACCAGGAAGGAATTCACACAAGTAACCCCTTTGGCGGTGTGATAATACTCGATCCTCGATGAAATAGATGTCGCGGATTAACAATGCACAACAGCTGCTCGCGGTACGGTCGAGACAGTTTCTTTTTCTGTTAATAATTAGCACGGACGAATGAGAATGATTCCCTGAACGTTTGCACGTGTTAATCGTGTGCACATATAATTAGACTCGATGCACTGTTGACGACACCTACGTGGTAACTGATGTCTTTACGATTGGCGATTTTCCCTGCGCGCACACATCCGACACGAACGAAGGCCCACGTGCGAGTACCGAGCTACCTTTAAGTTACCGTGCCGCACACCAGTTCGCCGGGTTCCTACATAATTTCTCTTCCCATTGGTCCATCCTAGTCCCCACCATCGCCCGCTGCCAGTAGTGTAGCGTAACAACGGCAGGACGAGCCACGGGTGATGAGAGCGGTTGAATCGGCTTGCGACGTGTTGACAAATCTTCAAACGTTTCTCACCCCTGAAAGGATTTTTAAATTTTCTCGCCGTCGATCGAACGATTGCGAATTTTTCAATAGAATTAAAACGAATTCCTTTGGCATTTTTAATCGTTAGAATATAGCAAACTGGAGAATCTTCCTCGAGGATATTTTTGAGCTTTCAAACGCCACATTTTTGTTTTTTAAATATTCAAGAATCTTTTTATTATAATATATTTATTTATTAAATAAGAGTATATAGATTATATTAAATAATATAAAACTGTATTTTAAACCTTGCAGGTTCAGCTATTTTTGGAAGTCGTTTCTTTGGTCAAATAATTGCGAATTTAATAAAAATTCAGAAAACTCCTTCTGATTTTTAAACATTACACTTTGCAATATTTAAAGCAGAAGTCAGAAGATTGTTTTATTGTTATAAAAAATATTGTATAACATAATATTGTATTTGGAAGAATTTAATTCCTTGTAATAATAATAATAATAATAATTCCTTGTCATTTTTAATGTTTCAATGTTTGAATATTGAAGACAGAGCGGAGAGCATTTTTTTATTATTATACATAATAATTATGAATTTCTGAAACTTGCTTTCTTCCCAACCAAGACGAAATTTGGACGAGGTGTAGGGGTGGGTGAGAGCATCCGAAGTATAAAATATTAGTTTTGAGAATTCGATACTTTCCAAGATATTAATGAAATACGTTTACTACTATTATGATGAATTCTGCGTATACGTATTTGTCCGTGACGGTGTGTATGTCAGCACAGGAGCTCCACTTTTCTCGGCAGCTACTATAACGGGTGAACTAGTCAGGAAGGTATCTCCTCTATAAAAAGTTCCAGGAATATAGTAGTTTCCAAGATATTCACGAAAAACTTTAAATGCTGCGCACTAGAAGCTGCGTATACAGATGTTGCTAATACATAAAACGACGCTTATCCAGACGTTACTAACACAAGCATCTTCGCCCATGATAGTTTCGTTCGTCGCCTGTCAACATAAATTCAGCCGTCGATAAAGTAGAAGTAGCATGATCGCAGTATCTATAGGGTGTCCAAAAATTAATTATCGTTATTGGTCTCGTTAGTTCTTCTTCCAGCAACCATTTATCATTATATTTAAAGATTTACTAATAAGGTAAATTGAAGTTGGTTTAGTACAGTATTCTTTCAAACGAGCGAATCCATTTTAACTATATTCACGTTCGACAATATTAAATATTACAGAAATCCCGAGCTCTCCATTTTCCATGGAGAAGATCTCTTCCTCACAAGTTCACCCGTTATAGTAGTCACTGAGAAAAGTGGGGGTCCCGTACTGCATAAACGCCGCTACGAACAAGTACGTATACGCAGAATTCATTATAGTAGTAATAAACGTTTTTCACTAATATCTTGGAAAGCACTAAATTCCCAAATAAAATACTTGAAATACAGTCATTAAATATTTGAGTATTTAAAAATAATCGGGCTATACTTTCATCGTTATAACAGTGCTGTATAATATAAATCTGTAGTGTAAACCTTGTAGCAATTATTAAAGACCATTTGCTAAATATCAATAGTACTAAATAATTATATAAACTGAGAAAGAATTTAATATAACTGTTTTGAAATTTTAATCATAAAATGTTTATGTATTGTTTAAAATATTGGACAATCTTTTTGTTGTCATAAAGACTATTATCAAACTATCATCAAATGAAACATTTATTTCAACAAAATAAGGATCTAAATAGACTCACTAGAAGAGACGCAAGCTTGCAACGGCCATTCTGCAATTTGCGCGAAAAAACCAAATTAGTTTACGTTCTTATTTGCAGCCGTCACGTATGGCGCAATGTTCAGAAATTTAATGAAATTTCTTTGCTGTACTTGTTATTATGTACTTCCTAAACATACACATTTCATTCGATCAAATGACGGTTTACGATGATTACGAACGTGTTAGATGTCCTGGAACAATAAACGGCTACAACGATAAATCGTTACGAGCACTTTCGGTGGTAAAATAGGATTAATCATTAATTAGAATAAGCCGGATTCACGTGTTAAAGACATGATATCGTTATTGTATTCGTTTCATTCGGCAATCGGAACAATGGCCGTTGTCCGTTAGAATTCGAACGCGTGCAGCCGTTCTGGCTTCCTTTGGATCTCTTCTCTCGTTTTTGTTGTAATTCTGACGACTCCGTGACAAAAATACGACGGCAGTTAACGTACCGAGAAGAGATGAGGTGACGGTGCCAGAAATTCGGAAGCTTTCGAAAAGTACTGGCCCGAAACGATTCCGCAGGATCCACGAGGCAATACGATGATCCGGCAAGGAGTATCAGCTGTTCGAATTATTATCGCTGCACACGACGGCAGATGTTCACTGGCTTGAAACACTCCCCCGAAGGTTTTGAACCCGCTGATCTCTTTTCTTCGGAGCGGGTGAAAACTTTCAAGGAAGCCCGACATCCCGTTTCAATCTCGCACAATGCCAGTGCCTCCTGCGCTCTTTCCACAAACGCGGTGAACGCATTAAACAAAGAAGCGGAAAATGTTAATTCGCTGTCCGTGATAAAAGGTCAATGCCTCGCATATCAAACTGTAACGGAATCTGAATATTCAAGAAATCATATTTGTAATTTTTATTATACGAACTTGTTCTGTCGAACAACCGTTTAGAATTTTTTAATATCTTCGTAGATTAATGGTGTATTTCATATCATTTGGACACTTCTTGTTATGAACTCAATTCCTCCCGGCTAAAGATGTTAAAATTTATAGGCCACGTGCGTCGACTAGTCAATTTGTGTGTCAAGAGCTAGTTAAGAGAAAAATTTCAATATTTACAGACACCTCTTGTGTTCTTCTTGGCACGATCTCCAATAATAAATCATCAGCCCAGAATGTTATCAATTGGTGTCACCTTTACAGGAGCATTTGTAACCGTCACTTTACTTTTACAATATCCAAGTGTAGCTCCAATGAAAAGATCATAGACAAATGTGTCTATTAAAATATACTCGGAACGAGTCCGTGCACAAATGTGTCTATTGAAAACAACGTCTATACACAACATTCAATTTTCGCGCAAGCATTAGTTCGACAGAAAAATGTTCTCGTTCCGAATGACTTTAAACATATGTTAGTACGCGAAGGATTTTGTGACTAGAACTCTTTCAGCTCCCATTTCCTCTTTTAAATGCAATTTTGGAAGTTTCGAACAAACGCACACAGGATGCGTTGGACAATGAATGAATGAAAGATGCATTCCGGTGTAACCTGGTAGACAATTGCGAAAGGGATAATCTGCGGAGGCTCTTTCTCGATCCGGGATCGATCAGCAGGCCCTGTTCATCGTATTGTTCGAAGCATGCCGTTAGTTACATGTCACAAAGTATAGGATATCATCGTCGTCCACGTTTGAAGGAGACCCCATAGGTTCGTGGCACGCGCTGCCAGCTGCCCCACAGCTGTCTCTCGCCTTTCTTTCTCCCTCTCTCACTCTCCTCCCTCTCTCTCTCTCTCTCTCTCTCTNTGCGGAGGCTCTTTCTCGATCCGGGATCGATCAGCAGGCCCTGTTCATCGTATTGTTCGAAGCATGCCGTTAGTTACATGTCACAAAGTATAGGATATCATCGTCGTCCACGTTTGAAGGAGACCCCATAGGTTCGTGGCACGCGCTGCCAGCTGCCCCACAGCTGTCTCTCGCCTTTCTTTCTCCCTCTCTCACTCTCCTCCCTCTCTCTCTCTCTCTCTCTCTCTCGTACCCTCGTGCATGAAGCCGGGGTTCTTACCCGAGCGTGGTGCATTTACCACACAGAACGACCCGTTCCGTCTCTGTGTGCACGTGCACCAAGTCCAAAACGCGTGTGTCCACAGAACATTTCGTGAGTACGTACATTTGTTGCTACGTCGTTGCATACTCGATGAGGCGGACCCTTAAAGAACGTCAAAACGCGCGCCTCCAAAGGGTGAACCGACACCCTTATTGTCTCTGGACGGACTGTCCTTTCGATCAATTTTCGAATACCCACGATGCTTCGCACGCTACCGAGCGCCTCTTCATTTTCGTAGATCACCTTCGATTAGCAGAAACGAATTTGGGATTGTCCGAAATAGCTGGAAGCTCTTTTTTTCTATTTCGAGTGGAAAATTATTCGCCATCAATTTGGAGAAACCGTTTATCCTTTTGTTTCGATATACATATTTGAGAAATTGAAGCAACGTTGAAGATTAATGTTAATACCACACTAATTGAAGAATCAAACTGTCATTTTAGCAGTGTCCATTCTATGAACATTTTTCTCAATTTAATTTCAAAAGAAAAGTGAAAAGAAAAATGAAATGTCTATGTACCACCTTATTGTATCTTGCAATTAACGCGGACAATTTATATTTGAAAAGAAAAAGAAAAATCCGCAGTCTAATAAGCACAACGAAAGGATGAAATTACAGTCAAATTGTAATTGAGAAATTGTTTAAGGAATCGTTGATTGTAAATTTTGAAAAATAATTCACTAGCTATCGGTAGTTAGGATGCTACCCCTCGCGAAATTTATATTAAAATACCCGTTGAATTTCTTGAAGAACCACAATGTGCGCTGGCCNCGCAAGCATTAGTTCGACAGAAAAATGTTCTCGTTCCGAATGACTTTAAACATATGTTAGTACGCGAAGGATTTTGTGACTAGAACTCTTTCAGCTCCCATTTCCTCTTTTAAATGCAATTTTGGAAGTTTCGAACAAACGCACACAGGATGCGTTGGACAATGAATGAATGAAAGATGCATTCCGGTGTAACCTGGTAGACAATTGCGAAAGGGATAATCTGCGGAGGCTCTTTCTCGATCCGGGATCGATCAGCAGGCCCTGTTCATCGTATTGTTCGAAGCATGCCGTTAGTTACATGTCACAAAGTATAGGATATCATCGTCGTCCACGTTTGAAGGAGACCCCATAGGTTCGTGGCACGCGCTGCCAGCTGCCCCACAGCTGTCTCTCGCCTTTCTTTCTCCCTCTCTCACTCTCCTCCCTCTCTCTCTCTCTCTCTCTCTCTCGTACCCTCGTGCATGAAGCCGGGGTTCTTACCCGAGCGTGGTGCATTTACCACACAGAACGACCCGTTCCGTCTCTGTGTGCACGTGCACCAAGTCCAAAACGCGTGTGTCCACAGAACATTTCGTGAGTACGTACATTTGTTGCTACGTCGTTGCATACTCGATGAGGCGGACCCTTAAAGAACGTCAAAACGCGCGCCTCCAAAGGGTGAACCGACACCCTTATTGTCTCTGGACGGACTGTCCTTTCGATCAATTTTCGAATACCCACGATGCTTCGCACGCTACCGAGCGCCTCTTCATTTTCGTAGATCACCTTCGATTAGCAGAAACGAATTTGGGATTGTCCGAAATAGCTGGAAGCTCTTTTTTTCTATTTCGAGTGGAAAATTATTCGCCATCAATTTGGAGAAACCGTTTATCCTTTTGTTTCGATATACATATTTGAGAAATTGAAGCAACGTTGAAGATTAATGTTAATACCACACTAATTGAAGAATCAAACTGTCATTTTAGCAGTGTCCATTCTATGAACATTTTTCTCAATTTAATTTCAAAAGAAAAGTGAAAAGAAAAATGAAATGTCTATGTACCACCTTATTGTATCTTGCAATTAACGCGGACAATTTATATTTGAAAAGAAAAAGAAAAATCCGCAGTCTAATAAGCACAACGAAAGGATGAAATTACAGTCAAATTGTAATTGAGAAATTGTTTAAGGAATCGTTGATTGTAAATTTTGAAAAATAATTCACTAGCTATCGGTAGTTAGGATGCTACCCCTCGCGAAATTTATATTAAAATACCCGTTGAATTTCTTGAAGAACCACAATGTGCGCTGGCCGGTTAACCAACTTACGGGAGCAGCTATACATTGTTGCTCGAAGTGAACCATATTGATCGCAGCTCTTTCCGATCCTGTGTACAGTAATACGGTAAGTGTGGCCCGTTTACCGTGTCACTGGAGTGCGTTGTGGGGGTTTACATTTGCGGTTTCTCATCCGGCTTGTCCGACACGCAGGAAATAGTCCTGAAGTGTCCTAGAGGATGCAAGGCTATTGGGTTTCGTGTGGAAAAAAGCGTGCGGAGCGGCGTGGAAAGAGATGCAGAGAGCGGCGACACTATCGAGAAACGTAGAGACGCGAGCTGCTTGTGCTGAAAGTAAAGGAAAAAAAAACGGAAAACCAAAGAGCATCCGATGAACACCGGAAATCCTAGGGCATTCAACCCTGACACCCGGTATATATTTAGACTTAAAGAGACATGCTCTAATCTGATCGCATAGATGCTTCCCTGGTGACCAAAAGCACTCCGATAGAATGTCAGAATTCGGGACTCTATATTTCCGAAATGCTTTATGCTAATGGAATTACTATAAATTGTTCGCCAACGAGGCGTACGTAAAACAAACAAGCGTCGTGAGCATTATTGTTTATGGAATATTTTCGTTCATCGCAGCAGACAGGAAACCTGTGGCATTTTTGGGAGGCAATGTGTAACACATTGCGATTTTATCAGTATTCCAAAAGGGACTTTACGCTTCCGCGAAGGAAGTCGGGCATTTCCTATTTGCTTATTGCATAATCACGCACGCAATAGCGTGCGAGTATCGGGCCTGCCTCGAACATATATTACACTTCGAAATAGCCAGGTATAAGTAGTTTTCGTGTGCACTTCGTACGTGCTGCGTTACATGCAAATTGCAAGTGAAAGTGCGCAATAGATTTCCAAAGGCGAATCAATTAAACGGCGGAATCTCTGTAACGTGCACAAAGTGCCAGGAAATATGTTAAATGCGTTCCACCAACTTTCTTGGCTTGTCCATTTTATAGACTCGTCGAACATTTAAACAATATAGCCAAGAATATACATACTTGTTTATATTTAAAACACGAATCCGACGTCATTTGCAAAAAGGACGACAGTATGATCGAAGATGTAGGAACGGTGAAAATTTTTCTGTTTGAAGAATTACACGTGAAAGCTGCAAAGTATCCGCGTCTTTAGAGACACAATACCAGCAGTGGCGGCCTTCTCGAAATAGACGAGAAGCCCAGCCCTCCAAACTCGTCCGAAAATAAAACAGGTTTCTTCCCTGCGAACCACGCTGTCCAATTGGTCGTCTCCGTTAGAAGAGTTCTCTGATTAATTGACAATTAAAGCGGCCACGGTTTATAGTTTATCGCAATGTTTTATAGTAATGCATAAGCCACGATTTCGCTTTCCGTCACAGAAACAACCATCGGCAACTGTACAATCTGCGAACAATTGTTCAAACAAACAGCTAGGCTCATGTTTTCTTAATGCACGAATTACATTATCAAGGGCACGCTCGCTGCTAATAGAGGCACGCCGTTACTATGAAGAATTCCGGAAGTTTCATTATGCGTTTGCTTGTTAGTAGTGTTTGCAGTTTAAAATAGAGGCGAGGAGGACTGTACAGAAAGTATGCCTAGCGATGAGCTGGATAAAATAGGAATTTTATTTCGACGTATCTTTGCCAGTAACCGTGATTCGGTACACGATAATTTAATATATTTATAATCGGTAGGATCGTGTGTTGAAGATTTGATTTTAATAATGAAATGTGGGATTTTGAATGTTGCAATACTGTTCGATTAGTATTTTATAAATGACAATCGAATATATTTATGATCAGTGGGATCGCGATCAACATCTACTTTTAATAAAGATATGTAAAATAAAAGATTTCGATATGTTACCGATTTACTATTCGATAAATAAGAATTGTCGCGATCGAGGACTATTTTTAATAATAAAATATAGAATTGAACACTACAATGTCAATTAACATTAGGACTATCAAATCAGTCAAAATATCTAGCTTTTTCTCCTTTACACTTCCTGTAAACATTTTCTTGATCGTGTTTAAATGATTTCAACCTGATGTTAAAACGAGTTCGGTATTCTCGTTGCTATTTCTAATATAAATAATCGTTATCAAGACCTAGTTGCATATACATCTTGTGTCGTGTATTTAAAGCGACCAACTCCATCACACTTGCTCCATCTTCGTTCCGATAGTCCTCCCAATTCATCTTCTTTATATTCTTGTGTTTAGAATAGTCATCGTCGTCATCGACCTCAATATAATCATCCTGAACATCCTCTTCATTTTTCTTTGGAACATTACTCAATAGCAAACGTCCTAATACTTGCGCTTTCGTCAAATTCCTTCTTGATATACCGTTCCTTGCGTGATCATTTTTGTCGGAAAGGTCTCTCTTCCACAATCGCTTGTCAAATATTATTTGAGGCCATTGTCTTTTTTTTGCTGTCAAATCTAGTGATAATTTGAATGGAGATGAACCTGAAAATTCAGAGGCTTCTTTCTTCTTATTTTCGTCTGGAAGCGAACCAAACTCTTTATCAAATAGCACATTTCTGCTTGGTCGACCGACAAGTTCCGCGTATTTACGATTTGCCTTCTGTTTATTCTGGATCGTAGGCGTGAGTTCGGTGATTTCATCAGACAATGGCGGAAAAGCCGTTAATCGGTCCGATAAGTCGTTGGCATCATCGTAGAGTTCTGTTGAATGTGTTTCTACGAAAATAAACATTAAATAGTAATTTCGAATGTACGGATGCAGTAATAAACTCTTAAAAATTCTGAGTAAGCATTAAAAATTAACACATTACCTATCGAAAGTCTATTAATAGATTTTTCATCGATCGATTACGAATACAAATTTATTAGGAAGCCCTTAATTGTCAATATTCGATTTAAAAAAAAGAACAGTTAGTCGTCAGTAATAAGAAAAATATCAATTTTCAATCATTTTCATGAAAGTATATTTAATTCCATTAGATAACTGAGGCAGTACACTTTCTTCATAGATTAGCAATTTCCACGTCATTTTACCATTCATATATATCATACTATCTGTCTAATTAATTTCTGCTGTACTTACTTGATAACACGTGGAAGTCACACATGGACACCAAACTAATGAACAATAACAGAAACATTTTCACTTTCCCATAGAACATATTAACGATACTCTAAACGCTCTCTAAACATGGAGTTATGCTATTCGTTAAAATTCTCAAACTGATCTAGCAAAGTCGACTGTAGGCCGTTGTGCCACCTTGGGACACGGATAGACAATGGCGTCGACATTATTGGAAGATCATAATAAGTTATTTACATTGGTGTTACGTGGATGTAGCAACTGATAAATAATCCTTAAATTGTAAACATCCGTAAATAAAGTTATCGAGTAGAGAAACTTACGGCTAAAAGAGCAGACGCATTTAACAATGTTGTACGAATTTTTTTTTATACTTTTCTCCAAAGTGAAAAATCAATGCGCATAGTTGGAGAATAGATACGTTCACAGTTCAAGTGTTAAATGTGCATTTGGCGCGACAAGTTTATTAAATTTTAATTTTAATCTTGCATTAGTAACAAAAAATTTCTTTTGAAATGTATGAAAAGCATCTTATTACAATACATGATCTACGCGACAGGTCTAAAACCATTATTAGGAATTGGCGGTGCGTTGTACGACGTGTACATGTATCTATTGAAATCGTGAGGAAGATATTCAGGTATTTGTTCTCGAGGGAATTCGTTGGTGGCAGAAGCGTCTGGAGGCGGATTAAAATAATAATTGTACCTTTCGTCTGAGTAAAAGTTCTCCGGCTTATCGTACGACGGTAAATTGTAATTAAGGTGATCGTAATTATGATACTTGTAGTTGTTCGTTTCGGTAGTAAACTCGACGTGATGTATATCTTGTGGATATCCAGAGTAATAACCATAAAACGGCGGACTTGTTGTTTGGTTATTGGTGTTGTTATTCGTCGTAGTTCCATTGATCATTAGAGGGGGTGTGTTCGTATCGTTTCTCGTATTCGAAACATTGGTGGCAGCCTCGCCCTTGAGCTGCTTCGTTTTATTTGGACTGCGAAAAATGTCGAATAGTTGCGAGCCGATATTAGAGCTATCATCGGCGTTGTACTCCGATAATTTATCTTGTTTTCTCCTTAATTCCTTTTGCTCGTTACAGGAACTGGCTGCTTTAAACATCTATTGCAACAATATCACATATTTATCGTCAATAGATTCGCAATAAATTCAAAATTGTTAAAGCTTTTGGAAAATAATAAAAATGAACGTGCTGAAAACGATGCAGATATAAAAAAAAACATCAGCATTTTCAGAAACCCAAGGAATGCAATACGTTTTCTAAAGCAAGAACACTTTAATCTCCGTAATTTAAAAAAATGTATAGAAATGTATACGGGAAACGAAAAACAAAATAAGAACGTGAACAGCTTTAAATAGATGAAAGTTTGTTATAGAAGAACCGTCAACATTTATTGTCCAATAGCTAACGTTACCAAATTCTCACCTTCTCTTCCGCGTGCCGGTCGTCTTCAAATTCTACAGCTCCGCCAGCCTCCACTTGAGCGGTGTTCGAAGTTTTCAGATTCTCAACCCTCTTGGCCTCTTCTGTATATTCGTCATTGTTGTTCAACAAGTCGACCGGCTTTTTGTTCCCGAGCAAATTCAGTATCTGTTCTTGCTGCGCCAGCGATTGCACGTCGTTTTGCAAACCGGCGATTGGTTGTAAATTAACGGGGCTTAACAGGGTATATAATCCAAACGGAGTGGTAAAGATATACGGATGCGGCACGTACGGGTAAGGGCCGTAAATCGGAGCAATATGCGGTGAAACTCGAGATGCATCGAAATTTAAAGTCACAGGCAGAGGCTTAGCGTACGTTTTCACTGGACCCGTTAAACCGGCGACACTCAAACCGGCTAAAAATGCCAAACTCCCTAAGATTTTACTCTTTCTTATCGGAGAGTTCGCGCTCCCATCGATGGGTTTGTTTAATTCTTCTATTTTCAACGTACTTTGCCTTGGCGATGGCAAACCCTTCCATAGAGTCGGGGTTTTCGGTGTTTGATTTTCATGGTTCTTCGTGGTGACTGCCGTATCGCAATTTAATACTAGAATAGAAGCGAAATAGTATTTTGTGGCTAGAAATAGTCGCGATTTTATACTCACTGTTGCTAGAAATCGAGGCGATTAGAAAAGCGTAGATCAAGAAACTCATTGTGACTGTGCGACGGTCAAAACGAGAGTGGAGAGAAACTAAAGAAGCTCTTTAAACAAAATTTTGTACCTGCGGGTCGCCCCCATGTTCCATTCTGTGAAAGTTCCTCAGATACCATTGAAAATATGTTAATTATCGCGATGTAAACTTCCTCATTAGGATATGTGGGTGTCTGCTGCAGAGTCGAATACGGAAGCGAGTATCTTCGAAAGTTATCAATTATTCTATTATCGTAGCTATATTTTTCGCATATATTTGTAAAAGAGATGGAAGTATTCATGTGCTATGTGATAACGTCGAAAATAGCGTATCAACGTTTGAAATTGGCGGGTACAACAAAGATGCGCGCGCATTTGCCAGTAATTCCGCCATACAAGAGATACTACACACACACTGACATACACTCACTTTTAGAAGTCGGATAAGTTTCCTGCAAAAATGACCGATGCAGCTGGAGACAATATGCAATTAGATGAAATTGATACTAACTTAGACTTTGCGGCTCCGGAAAAACAAGAAGCTCGTGCATATCTGCGCGAACGATTTCTGCGAGTGATTACTGGAATTGTTGGTACGACATCGTCATATTTCCTTCTTTATTTAGATTTCATAGCTAAAAACTATGTCGTATTGATCAAATTTAACAACAATTATTGGTTTCTTTGTTTTTCAATTTAATTAACCGCGAAATTATTTAAATATGGCGCCAATGTTAAAGTGCAGTTCCTATGCGCGAATTTAATTGATAGGAGTTTAATTATATTTGATCTCTGTTGACAAAAGTTACAGAATCAAACAATCATATTATTAGATAAGAAAAATGCAACGAAATTGTTAATGTTTGAAAATTATCTTTAAATGTTGTATAAATTTCAAAATTAGGTTAAACAGGAATTACACATAACAAGTTGAACTATATTATGTTACAGGTAAGAAAGCAGAGTTTTATTTATATGAAAACACTCGAGTTTCTGCCGAATTTCGAGGCTGTGATATAGACTGCTTGGAAGTCTATGTACGTAATCTGGAAACACCATTAGGAAATATTCCACAAGCAGTTTTGAGAGCAAATGACATTATTTATATGGATGTGAAAGACATTAACACTGTACAATGATGTATTCAATCATAGGTAAGTAATAACAGTACTTCTACTATATGTAAAATATCTATGTTAGATCATTACATATTTAACATATAAAATAGGATACATAAGATGCGTCAATTTAATTCCAAAGACTATTAGGTAACTGTAAAGCTTTAAACACTTTAAATACTTTTAAAATGCAGTTGATAATGTCCTGCAAAGTTTCTTATACAAATTATATCTATATTAATATTACAACTGTAACTTTCATACTAGTACCAAATTATACTTCTTTTTTATCATTAAATTAAACCAAAAAGACCGTTATTAGTTATCACTAACAGTGCCATCACTTTCACTTATTGGTATCCATTTATTTAAAATGATTTTTTAGGTTTTGGAAAATGCACTTTTGTATGGACCTTCAGTATAGCATTTCCTTTTGATTTCCACAGCTCTTATTCCTATAATTTAATTCACTGTGCTCTTATTTCTTTCATTGTTAAAACTTATTAAAACATCATACATTTTGTTTAATTCTTCTTCTTTCCATTGTTCTAAAGAAAATGATCTTTTA